GTCCTTTGGCAAAGCCAACGGCTCTGAAACACAGAATCTGGCAGGTACTATTTTGAATTAGCTCTAGACAGAATGGTGGGTCATTAAAGAAAAAAAGATGGTGCTTTTCATATCATCCTGCTCTGGTATCTAAGACACCTTACAGCGCTGGTTCATGTCCAGCTCAATTTAGAGGTGGATGCTTGTGTGCATTGTCAGAAACCCTACAGAGTCCAGGAATCAAGGTTCAGACATTGGAGACTACTAATTACATTGTCAGATGTCCTGATCTCCAAAGCACCAGTTGTGTGGGAGGTTAAATGTTCTAGTTGAATGCTGGCATAACAGCACAGACAGGACTGGAGTTACTCTGGGTTTGTACAGGTGTTATGGAACGGTTTCTTTGCTGATGGAGGTTTACAGTAAAAAAGAGTTTGATATCAGCAAAAGCACTGGAATTAGTCTTGAGCCTGGAACCACTGCTGTTGCTAACAGCAAAGAGCAAAAGTGTATTTTTACAATATGCTGGTGGCACCCAAGGCTTTATGTAAAAGGATGCTGTACAAGTCAGATTCATTTCTTTAAAATTCAGTGTTGTTGGAAACAAGCCAGTTCCTAAAATGGACACGCGTTTATTTCTGCTTTGGAAAAGTAATATAGCTTCTCATGCTATCTATAGGAGCAGACTGTAATATGGAAGATGCTTTCCTCTCAGGGATGCCTAGCTTCTACCCAATAGAAGTTACTCCGTATGAATGCATAAGATAAAGTCTTCTGTCACATTTATGTAAGCATAACAAAAGGCTTGATCCTGCCCTCAGAAGGTGCTGATGCTGTAGGAACATGCCCTATTCATTTTTCTGGACTGCAAGGCAAAAGGATTAACTGAAACTACTGTTCGCATTGCTAACTCCCAAACGCCCCAAATCTGAAAGAATAGTTTTCCTGCAAGAGCCATCTGCTAGCAGGAGACTCAGCCTGGGGTTCTGTAGATGGTTTGGGTTTCAGACAGCACTATGCCCTCATGTGATTGTCTCTGCTATACAACAGTGCTGCAGGCTGGTACCCACTGCTAGCTACTCATTTTCTCCCTTCTGCAGCCCATAGCCTGCATGTGGCTCTGTTCTGCAGACTTCTGGGTGGGCATCAGCTGGAAAAGTACCTGGGGTCTTTCCAGATTGCACAACTTTCTCCCCACACACACAGGGATGAAATTATGTATTGGTATTTCTAGTCTCCTCCTGCCCACGCGTGAAATAAATTGGAACAATAGCATTTATTGTGAACCAGGATAAAATGTGCTGTTTGTCTCCTTCGCAGAGAAGGTGCTTTCCTAGCTGTCAGAGGAGAAATTGATCTGTACATCCAGTTACTGCTTTTGCCTCTACAGAACTTGTAATCAGTGTAGAAATAGGGTACTTCGCTGCATTGGACTATAGCCGGACCCTCTAGAGCTGCTTAGAAACTTCTCATCTCAGTTTGATTAGTCTGAGATTATTTGAATCTAGGACACTATAGAGATCCTTATTTAAGTCTCTTTTCCTCCAGTGTTCTTTTGATGAGACGAAGGACCTACCTAGTGGATGCAAACCGCAGCTTCTTTGTATATTAGCAACCTATAAAAAGAAAAATTTTGATCTCTTATGTAGAACTCTTTCTATTGCTTTTTCTTTGGTCTGTCTTAGGTGATGAAAAATGATGGTTTTGGGATGTGACACATACCAATATGAACTCATTGCTGGGAGGATAGGAATTGGCAGTTGTGAGGGTTTCATAGATAACTGAGAGAAGTGTGTTTTTGGTGAGGAGCTTGAGTTTTTCACAGTACTCCACAGGCTCTGATGGCCTTTTAGGAGTGAATCCTCAGGGTACCTCTGGTGCTCCTCTTGTCAAGGCTTCTCCTAATATCAGGATTATGTATATTATAATGGATTGATGATAACATCCTGAAAGATTTAGAAAAGCAGAGGATGTCTGTTTACAGTGAGATGCAGAAGCTGCACAGTTGTATTTTACTTTTTCTCTGTAGCAACAAAAGCCACTGAGTTTCCTGAGCTTCCCAAGGTCACGGCCTGGATTACAGATGACTGTTGATTTCTGTAAAAGAAGTGTAATTGAATAATCATCACCATCATCTTTGCTGATCAGTTGCAAGCCAGTCCCCCCTCTCCCTCTGCCCCTGTCTGCTCAGCAGTGCTGAGCCTACAGCTAGACTTTGAGCTCATTGTGCTGCTTTTGAACCAGTCGAGTCTGATCATTCTCTCCTTCCTAATTTGCCTTCCAGTTTTCCCTTCCCAGTAGGAGTGCCTTACGGTACGGTACATTAGTGTCTATCTCCTTGTTTTGGATTTCCTGATTGAATCTGCTGTTCGATTAACTTGTACACTTAAACTGAAGCTCTCCCATGGCTGGGCATGCTGTTTTGCAGGGGCAGCTGAGTTCTTCCCTCAGGAAGTGAGCTCTACAGGCTGCATACACCAGCTCTGAAGACACCACACTGCATGGAAACCCCTCATTTTGATCAATTTGGTGCCTTAAATTTTCAGAAGTGAAAAATTTTGTCAGGAATGCTCTGCTATGAGGCAGCATGTTTGGAGCTGGAGCTCAAAACCCTTCCTTATGGCAGTTTCCATCTCACTAGGAGTGGTGACCATAAAATTTGTTTACTGTCTATGCTTTGAGAAGGAAATATGTGAAAGGGTAGCATGGAGATGGCGCTGGTTTTTATTACCTGTATTTTGGAGACTAGCTGGGTTTGTCTTCAGCAGTTGTGCTTACGCAAGGCCTTCAGGAGCCGTGCATATATAATGGGAAGCACTGGGCATTAAAATGCAGTCAGGTCACATGCAATTGTGCTCCTCCTGGAACCACTGGGCAGCCCATGCCATGTGGCGAGGGACTCCCATGCGGTGCTCCCTACCTGCATGCACAGCTAGGTCCAGTGCCATGGGAGTGACGGCATTTCCTCAAGTCTTAATTGTAGTGCAGCCTGGTTCCCTGAAGGCTAACCGGCTAACCCCTGCGGGCTTGGTCAGCCTTACCTTAGGGAAAGGTTTAACCTGTTCAGATTTTAGCATGATTTGCTAAAGTGTATGGCTAACTTCTGGCATGTGTCAGCCCTGGGCACATGTCCATACTGACTGTGATCTTGTGTGTTTGACACCAGTAGCAGGAATCACATTTGACAGTGGCAGTGCTGTCACTGCATTTTAGCAGTGTAGTGAGGAGACAGCCTGGATGATGATGTGCAAAGTCCTTCTTTACTTGAAAACCCGGGTGTGCACACACTGCCTGGGGTCACATCTTAAAATGCCAAATTCCTTAGGGTGGCCATTAGTCCAAATCACAAAGGTGTCGCTTGTGGGCAGCATCAGAGGAATCCAGGCCTGGAAAGCTCTCAGCTCTCTAGGACCAAAGTGTGTTAGGCCTCGTCTATGTGCACAAGTGTCAGTGGCTTGATGATTTATTTACATGTGTCTAATTCACATGTTGAATCAAATAAATCCTTGAATACACAGCATTGTTTTGGTGGGAAAAGGGTTTGTTTTGGTTTTGCTTATGCACTTGTCTACAAAGTCGATCTTGCTTTAACTGGAGTGTGCTTTCAGACTGATTTTTAATGGCATTGATACCTGTGATACCAGGTTAGTTTATATCAGTCCCTCCTGTACTTGAGCTAAGCAAAAGTAAGAAGTCATGACCAAAATGTGTGTTTGAAGGGTTTTAAGTGATAAAAGCAGCTTCTAAACCATCTTTAGTTCAATTGAGGCAGTTAGAAGCTGGGGGAGCCAGGCGTGAGCACCTTGAGCACAGTGGCTGATGCTATCCTTGGCAGCCTGAGCACCAGCTCACCTGCAGCACTTGCAATGGATTTCAGCATCACTGACAGTGCACCCTGAGCTTTTGGAAAACCATTACATGTGTGTGCTATTTGTTAACTTATTGGCAACATCATTCTGTGTGTTTCATTGTTCTTGTGTTTGCATTGGGTTTTTTTTTACTTTTGACAAGGATTTTTATTTCATTATCTGCAACTACTAGGCAGTCATCTTAATTTATTTTTGATGTGTAATAATGTTCTAATTTAAATTCAGTGGGTCGAATTGCTTGACACTTGAGCAGGGTTTATTTGGGTTCACTTGTGACGGCATCAGAGCACCAGTCCCTCGTGTATAAAGGCAACTCTCAATAAACACTAAGAAAAGTTGTTTGTCCTTTTTAATTTGCCTTCTGGTGGGTACTGCGTCCTTGGTAGGACAAGCTTTGGAATGCTAGTTTCCTTAAAAGTGATAATCTGCTGGCAGAAAGTCTTCCAAATCTAAGCAAATGATGATATTTACTGTTCCTGGTCTGAACCAGGAGCTCTCTGGCAGTACTGTCCATGACTGCATCAAGCTTTGCAGGTTTGGATTCCCAGTTAAATCTCTCCAGTGTTTTTTGAAAGCCACAAGTGCTTGGGCCACAAATGCTGAGCGCCAGCAGCTTCCAGGGAAACTTGGTGGGAGCTGTTGTCAGGCACCTTTGGATATGGAGCTCCTAGGAGGCAGGCAGGAGGCATAGGGAAGCAGCTCCCCACTGTGTGGCTCTCTGTGTACCTCTGCCAGAAGGGTCCAAGCTCAGGGGCTTGAGTCCTAAGCAAGGGAGGCGTTTCCCAGCTGGACTGAAGGGACCACTGGAGGGCCGGAGGGGCATGACTTTACCCACATCATAAGGGCTGTCCAGGCAACAGATGTAGAAGCAGGCATGATTCCTGCTCCTCTGGGCTGCTTCTTGCAGTGCAGCAGCTGAAGAACTTACGCAGCTCCTTGGAGCTGTGGCTTTGGTGGCCAAGGTTTGCAGCACTGAGCCATGGTGGAGCTCATGGGCATAAACCTGCTGCCTGAGGGCCCAAGAGAAATCCACACCCAGCCCCATGCTCCTGTGGCCTTCAAAGAGAAGGAATATCCCCTCCCTCACTGTCTTCCTGCTCCTCCTCAGAAAGACCAGAAGCCCACCAGGAATGTCAGTCCTCTCTCCTGCAGGAACCTTTGGACTTCATCTCTGTGATGAAATAGGCTACAAGCAAGGAGTTAATATTTGACCAGGACCACAAAAGCTGCACAAGAAAACCATGGGGCGAGACCTTCTCTTCCTCCTTATTTGCTTTACAAGGTGAGCAAATTCCATTATGATGTCTCTTTCACCATTCACTGCCACCTCCCTTCCTCACTTCACCCTGTAAGAGATGGTAGGAAAAGCATCAACACAGAGCAGAGACTGTGGGGTCTAGGGAGCCCTGGGAGGAGTGCTTTGGTTGTTTTTCTCATGTCCTCCTGTGTCTGTATTTATACAGTTTCTTCTGTCCTCCTTGCCTGTGCCCAGCCTCCCTGTTGTGCTCTGTTCGAGTGTATGAACCATCACTGAAATAGATGCTGACAGGACATACTCCAATAGCTGTCATGGGCAACTGAGGGCTGGAGTTTCAAGCAACCTTTCCTTTGGTTCCAGTCAGGAGCTACAGTGGTGGGATTTTTCTCCCTGTTGTGCAGGGTCGTTACATGAAAGCTGTGCCCTCCTGTGAAGTGTAACTCTGCCAAATAATCTTACCTTGGCAGCCCTGTTCTTAACTGCTGCATGCACACCCACACAGCCATGCTTTTGGGGTTGGTCTGTTAGCCATCTGTGTTAATTTATCAGCTAGCCTTTAATGCAGCAGGCTTCAGAAAATACCAGTCAGACTGTGAATTGCAGCTTCCCATCCAGGTCCCCTGATGTATCCACCAATTGCAGCTTCCCATCCAGGTCCCCACAGAGTATCCACCCGCCTTGTTCTCTTCATGGTTAATACTCCTCATGCTGGTGGGACAAGTCAGTGGTTTATAACCATATAAGCTTATGTGCTTGGGACTATTAGATCACGGGCAAATCTTTTAACCAAGGCAGCAAGTCTTTTGGGTTTTGTACTTTCATATTCTTATTGCATGTTAAATGCTTTACAATAGGTTGAACCAGGAGGGTTGATCATCTCCTATGGCCAAGTCCCATGAGTGATATTATGGTTTGTATCACCTGAGCATGCCAAGTCAAGCTCTAGCTCTTCTCTTAAAGTTGAGGGCAGTTCATTTGTTAAAGTTACCCCTCTAGCTCTTGGACCAGAATTAACAGCATTTGGTTTAATATAGGAAATTGAGTGGTTTTCTAAAAGGTGGCAGAAGTGCAATGCAGCTCTTCTTCAGGGATTGACAGTGTTCACAAGTCTGTGAAGTCCTGAGGACACTGTCAAAATCGTGCAAGCTCCTTGTCCAGAACTGTGCTCCAGGCTCAAGGAAACAAGACCTCTTTTCCTTTCAAATTTTCCAGATTGTGTATGATACAGTCCAGATTACAGTATGGTAACAGATTAACCCAAATGGGATCCTTCTTTAGGGACGGAGAGAGACCTTCAGATCTGGGGCTTACCATACCTTTTTCAGTGAAAGGCATACTGAGGGCAAATGAAAGCATTCTGTATGTGTGTGCATAGCACTGGACTGTCTTTTTTAGAGTTCTTGTTTAGCTAAATGATCTCCAAAATAGAGGTCCCATCTAGAGGCCTGAGTATTACTACTATGAGAAGGTGGTGAAAAGCATCTCAGATAATCAGGTGTCACAAGTAAAACCAGACAAAATCTCCAAGGCAAGCAGGAGTAAATTCCAACCATTTTAAGCATAGACAAATATAAAACTTGGCATTGCGGCTGTAAACATGCTAAAAAGTCAGTCTGCTCTTTATAGGAAGTGACTTGATTTTCTATAACTGAGTTAGAGGCATTAGCCTCAGATATTAAAAATGAAGTTGTAAGGCTCATCTGGGTAAGCAAGAGAAGGCAGATAAGAGCTTGTGTTAAGGGCTGAACTTTCATTGACTTAGAAGTTCCCAGGTGTTTATTATGTAGGTATGATACGATGTGCTTAGAGGTGAATAAGAAGGAATTGTTAGTAAAGTTAAGTATTGTTTAAAAATAAAATGGTACAAGTTGAAATGTCAGTCATTGGAACAGGTTGCACAGGGAAGTGGTTGAGTCACTATCCCTGGAGGCATTTAAAAGAGATGTTGGCGTGCTTAGGGACACAATTTAGTGGTAGACTTGGCAGTATTAGGTTAGCAGTTAGATTCAATGATCTTTTCTAACCTAAATGATTCTGTGATTCTAAGTTACTGAATCTGTAACTGTAATCAGTGTGCATGGAGCACTTCAGTCCAAAGTGCTTTCATAGCACTAAAGATTATAAATTAATCTCATTTGTGACTGACACTGCAGGCCGGTACCTAAAGTGCAATAACTAAATCATGGAACATGATGAGTATCTCTCCACTGACTTGTGCCTTCCCCTGTAAGTATTCCCACTGATTTCTGAGAGCAAGGTGTACTGATTCTGACAGGAGCAAGGTTAGGGCGGAAGAACTGAGACTCCAGCACATTCTGTCATCAGACATCAGCACGCAATTGTTAGTGACACTGGTGGATGTTGTTTGTTGTGTACATACTGCAAAATGTCCTGTTCTAGCTTGGACTCTGCACTTCTGAAGGGCACTTGCCTCTGATTTAACAGACAGCATGACTGATCCTTTAAGCAGGTACAGGCTCTGTTGACTCCAATTAAAACTGTAGTTTGTGGATAACCAGAGCTGGGCTCTCGGTGTTCAGAGACATGAGCTGTAGCAGTGTATAAAATTGGCAGATTCCTTGTAAAATGCATATACATCTAGCACAGAGTTAACCCTGGCTGATAACAGGTAAAAGAGGGCAACAGTCTAATAAAATAAGCATCTCTACTGTAGGCATTTATACAGTATTGACATTGTTAGCCGTGCTTAGAGATTTACATCAAGTGTTACTGCGCTGTCATAAAACAATAAAGTACTTCTGTGAAGGGCTTAGGGCAAAGGGGAGGCAGAGAAGTCTCACTATATAAGGCCCTCCTCCAGCACCCGTGGTAATCCATGGGAATGTTTCCATAGCTGTTGGCAGGAGCTGTGTGGAGGCCAGCTAGGGGAGGGTGAGCACAAGCGGCACGTTTACTATGTTTAGAGCAGGTAACTAGTGGCTTTGACTCAGAGAGGATATTGGCACCACCAAGTTTTAGGAGCCTAATGCAGCTGACAAGTCCACCTTGCAACCACCGGAGAGAGATGAGGGTTCCTACCAGGACCAGAGGTGTATCTGACCTGAATTGTCCTCTGGTGTTTCATAGGAATGCTGACAAGGACCCATAAAAGCTAAGATGACATTAAGAAAAATACTGTGGTCAGGGCAGCCAGGAGGTGAAGAGGGCAAGAGTCCAGGGTCCCAGCATTCCTACACAGCGTGCCCTGGACTCTGCACTCTTTCAGCTCTAGGCTGTTGCAGCTCCACCTCTCACACTGGGCTCACAGTAGGCTTCCCCTCTTGGCTGCAGGACCAGACTTTGCAGCTGAGCTCAGTGTTTATATGTAGTGGACCAAACTGAAATGCCAGTCCTGATCAGTCAGAGCACCAGGGAGTTTAGATCCAGGCACAGTGCCTGCATGGCCATGGGTCTGCAGCTCCAGTTTGTCCTCCCTGCTCTTCATGAGGTTATAGCAAGATTTCTTCTCCAAACCACGTATTGCTCTTCCACTAGAGGTGGTTCCTGTGTAGTTGTTCCCTGGTTAAATGCCACTGCATGGGAAGGTGTACTCTTTTTTCTTTTCAGATGCAGGAAGTAGTTCTTTTCAATCAATGCATGTAGCACCAGTGTTCTCCAGCACAGCAGTCCTACAGCTGTCCTGTAGCTGTCCTACAAGCAGTGGGAGAGTTACCTGCTTCCTGACCCTACTCTGGACAGTGCTTCTCGAAAATCAGCCCACTTCAAAACAGAGAATCATCTCCTTTGAGAAGGGGCATTTCAGATCCCTTCATAAACCTGAGTGTGGCCACCAGCCTAGCTTGCCTTGTTTTGTTTGTCATGAACCAAAGTTCCTGAGGGAGCTGATACAGGCTGTTTGGAAAACATTGGGTAGATGTTGAGCGCTTCAGCATCTAACCCCACATCTCTTAACTGATTTTTAGCCTAGGCAACTGGGTAAACTTTCTATATTTCTTTCTCAGAAACATTTGTCTATGCCATTTCCTGTCCCAGGTTTGATCTTGAAAGCTTATGAGTAGAGCTGAAGCCTGTCCCTTACTCATGAGATACATCAGCCCCCCAAACACCAGGGCTAACTTTGTGTTGGGACAGCTCTGAGAGACCATGGGCTCACTCAAGCTGAATCTCAGTATGAGGCTGCGTTGGTCCCTCCCTCTGAGTCCTGGGAGGTGTCACAGTGGCAGTAAAAATCCTCAGTCTGTGGCACATGTCCCTTTCATTCCCCCCATCCTCAGCTCAGCCGGTGCTGGAGATGTGGCCCAGATGTGTTTCCTTACTCTCAACAGCTCTGCAAGCTCCTGCTCTACAGGACAGCCTACCCCAGCCGAGCACTGTAGGACACCCTGTCCTTGCATCCCACTGTCCTTATGCAAAGAAAGGGTATTTCAGTTCAGTAAGAGGTGAGCTGTCTCTCACACGTGTACCCAGAGCAGACTGCTGCAGCACCAGCGTCCCCTTGGCTTTGTGTGTGATCTTTTCTCATGACTATCTCAGTGGTGTCCTCATCACATGAGCTCCTGAGCCTCTGGGATGGTGAGACAGCCTGCGGGATGACGCATTTACTTTACACATCTCTTGCTCTGCATAGCCACCCATTAAAATCACTCGCTTTACCCTTCTATGCGGGAATCTGGGGGGAACTTGGAGCAAACTGCTTGGGACTGGCAGGGACGTACACGCAGGAGATGCGGATGAGAGCGTGTTTCTGGCTCCTCACGCTCCTTTTTACTGACTCTCCTCACTGATTGGAAAAGACCCATGTCCGTCCGTCCCCCCTTCCCCCCCCCCCCCGTCCCCTTCTTCCTCCCGGGCCGCACAATTGTCACCGCCAATTAGTGCATTGTTAGGGCACACAATGGCGCTGTGGCCACTGGAATGGGACGCTTTTGTGCGTCTCCAGTCGGCTGTAGGGGCAGTCAAGATTCATTTAGGGCCTTACACAACATGGACAGAAAATACTATCAGAAAAGCAAAAGGAGGAAAGAAAAAGGGAGGGGGAGAGAGGTAGCGGAGAAGGGAGGGGG